TCGAATTTTGCCATTTTCAGTTATTTGTAGGCTAACCAAGAGATTCGAGATCCCCTTCTGATGAAGCTAAGTTAATCCAGGAATTGTTTGAAAATCTCAGGTTTCTGACTAGAAACGACAGATTTCTTCAGAATCTGGTGAAGATTCCACTAATTTTTCATCATTACAGATTACTCAAGATGTATTTCGGCTCTGTGGACCTAGCTGGATGCTTCTGATCCCTTGAAACTTGCAAAACCTGTCGTTTCTAGTCAGAAACCTGAGATTTTCAAAAAATTCCTGGATTAACTTAGCTTCATCAGAAGGGGATCTCGAATCTCTTGGTTAGCCTACAAATAACTGAAAATGGCAAAATTCGATACTTTTGCCTTTAAACACATCTTTTTTTCTGACTTTACTTAAAAAGTCCATGTATTTGTGTGGACGTGTTCTATTTAGGAATAGAAAATGCACGGCGTGTTCTAATTTGGAACGGGAAAAAATTAGAACACGAATATTTTGAGAATTTTGAGAATTCTGTGCAAATTAAGAATTGTGTTGCAAGTTAAGAGTTTTGAGAACTCTAGTGCGAATCAGGAACTATGTTGCAAATTGAGAATTGTGAGAATCGTTCTTCAAGTCAAGAATTGTGCTGCAAATTGAGAATTTTGAGAATTCTAGTGCGAATCAGGAGCTTTCAGCTTATTAAAGGATATTAATAACATAAACATCCATAATACAGAAGTTTTCCTCAAAATAACAAAATTGTTATTTATATTTTCAAAGGCATCGACATTCGAAAAATGAAATTTTTGTTAGAACTGGAAGTTTAGAACTTTTAAGAAAAGAGACAAAACAACAAACTTCGAAACTTAAAAACGCTTAAATATCTGACTATCTAAGTTTCTAAATATCTGCATAGCTTAGTATCTGAATATCTAAATATCTGAATATGTAAATGTCTCTATATCTAAATACCTGACTATCTAACTGTCTAAATATCTAAATACCTGAGTATGTAAATATCTAAATACTCTTAAATATCTGAGTATCTAAGTTTCTAAATATCTATGGATTTGTGCATCTAGATGTCTGAAGATCTGAGCAGTTTTAAGGACCGTTGAAGAAACGTTTTGGCGTATCTAGATGCTAGATAAATGCAGATGTTCACAAATCCGATTCCTATCCATGTTTCGGATAACCACCTGTATAAAGAAAACTTTCAAAATCTATGTTATAGTATTCGTCTGGCTTTGAAAGAAACCTAAAAGTAAAAAAGTGCACATGTTTTTTGTAAAATTGAATAAGTTAGATGAAAATTCTCGCCTGGCAAATGCTAAGAATAAATATGCGATTCGACAAAATTAAAAATGCTGAGAAATAGATGTACTGTAAAGCAGGCTTTCCAGAGCAGATAAGTATAAATTAAAACCGCGATATTTTTTTTCTCGTGACAATTCTTTTTACATCATTCTACATAAGCGGACTACGAAAATTTATAGTTTCCATCTGCTACTACCGTATACAGTTGAAATCAAAGAATAAACTGTTCCATTATGTTTATATTTTTTCAGAACTTATTTCTCCACTGTGTATCGATCGTATAGGGGCCTCAATCATACGGCTTCCATACGGAATCAACAAATGCCTATTGCTCCAAATACTATCGCAACCAGGCTGCCTTCGCTTACTCAATTTGAAACACAATCGACTATTGATTCATTCGAAGGTATGACTGAAGGTAAAACAAACTATGTTATTGCTGCAGAGCGAACTACTGCTCAAAATCATCTGCTTCAAAGCAGAAAAGACATCGAATTCGCGAAATACTATCTTACATACAACAGTTGGATTCTTACTAATAAATCAATCAGCTCAAACATGCGTCATAATACTCACTTGAAAAATAGTATTCTCCAGCTACTCGTCGAACAAGGCTTTCTACATGAGATCAAGGGTGGTCTTAAAAGTTTAAATTCAAGGACCAGTTTGATTGATGTATGGGTAAAAGGTATGCCACGTGCTCGTAATGATCTTTATATTATTCAACAATGGGATGCTGAATTATCTGTGTATGGTGTTTCGTGGAACCAATATGCATCAACCCTTTCCAATATCAATCTTGTGGAGGAAGCATATATGACCAGTACACTTAATGAATTTATTATTAATAATTATGCCACCGCGTGTATATTCTGAATATGTAATAAAAAATATACGTTAATTTTCATCATGTTATGGTCTCTTGGGTATATACTCGATATACTGATGCCTGCTCTCTTAAAAACTCAGTTATGAAAAAAATTTGAAGGTATCTCTAGCAAAAATGTGAGCATTCTAAAATGCACTAAAAGTAGAAGAAAAAAAGCTGTTCGACCAGGTTCTTTTTTCTGAATTTAGTGCATTTTAGAATACTCATATTTGTATCACAGATAACGTTGAACGTTTTCTACTTAAATAATTTGAGGGTAAAGCAGTAGAAATTAGTTTAAGTATTATGGAGTATAAAACTGCTACAAAGATCATGGCAGATTTTTAACAAAAATCAGTTTATGGTTTATTCAAGCTTATAACACGGAATCGAACAGTGTCGCGACATTTCTATGAACTTTGCGCCTTAAGGAAATCATACAAGTCAATTTTCTCGGAAACGTCTAAGCCGATAAGACTGAATTTTAGAATATATTCTATGAAAAATTTTGAACAAATGGCTCATTTAGAAATGTGTAAAAACGTCTGATTGAATTATAAACCTCGAAGGACTTGCCCGATTTTTTAGAAAATTGAAACCTTCAACTTTCGTGCCGAACTGAATGCTGTATCCGATGGTACAATCGAAATTTCTTTTGGTATCAATGAAGTTTTCTGAAAAATCCGGATTTCAAGAGATACATATGTTGGAAATGACAAAAGACGTATTAGATTGTTAGTTGATTCTTACACTTCACTCTATGCAGAATAAGAAAATATGTGTAATAAACAAAATCACATTTTCATCTCGAACTATTATTACATTTGCGACTCGAAGCTCTTATTTTCCAATATTCGATCATAATCAAGAATACGTAATTGATCATAACAAGTCAGACTCATACATTTACCACAGGAAGGTGAAATTTGTTCTTGTTTTTCTGGCCATATTTCTTTGTACAACGTGGCGACGTGGCAGAAAGGAGCAAACTTACTCAACGTGAATGAATAAGAATGACACACATTTTCTTGCTGCTCTTGTAAAACAGGCCTTGACAACGTAATCATTTATACATTACAATAATGAAGTGTTATAACTCAAGTATGTTACACGTTGCATAGACGATATTAACCACGATCAACCACTACATTCTTTCAGTAGTTTCTGATAAAATATTTTTTTCGAGCTATCCTATTGCTTATGTGCTTTTTCTACGAGCCACTTTCCTTCTGCAGTACCGGTAAACAACAAACGTTAGTAATTCGGTATTTTTTAGATAACCAAAACCAGAAACGTTGAACATTTGCTGAAGACAAATAAAGGCGTATACTCTCACGGTTTTAACGATGGTGAGCACTAATTTCGTCGTAATTTTTCTGACAGTAGTCGGTACCCTCCTGATCTCTACGAATGCTACGTCGCACCAACACAACATTGATGCACTTTTACCACAATCTGTCGTTGAATTGAAACAATATTACGATGTAATTACGAATCTGGAGAAACGTGGCATCATAACTTCGGATGCTGCAGCTCAAGAGAAAAACGCATATATTGAACTTGCATCGAAACTTGTTGGCAGAAAAGATATTCTTACAATAGAGGAATTTCTCACTTGGAAACAACGTCAGTTGATTATTTCCTTTTCGAATGTAATAGCAATCCTAGCTGGAGTTATAGTCGTTCTGGCATTGACAACATTAGTAGCTCTTTTCATTATACCAGTGCTCACCCATGTTCCAGTAGTTGTCTGGGAAGGACTGTTTTACATCATTTCAATTTATTTATTGATTTTTATGAATAATTCATGGGTAATTTTTCTTGGATGTCTTCTGTTTTTGGCTACGCTATCCTTTACAGTCACATTACATTTTTCAAGGCAAAAAAATGTCGGTTTGGCTATGGCATGGATCTGTTTTTTTGTATGGGCTGCCGTGGCTGTTTACCATCAGAGTCGAGAAGCTGGTTATTTAGCTGTCATGGCTTTGGAATCATCGCTGGGATTTGTGATGTTCGCCGGAGAATTGGTTATTATGATTGGATTTCAAAATGAAAGTGTGATACCAAGTGCTACAGTTGCTTCATTGATTTCATTGCTGATCGGTAGTATTTTACAGCTTCAGCGACGATCAAATATCTTGACCATTCCGTTTACTCGTCCACTACTGTTTCTTGGTACATTTGTCTATTTTATCGGATTGATCATTCTTAGTTCTCGACTTTATTCCGGCCGCCAAGGAAAGTATCCCGTTTATTGGCTATTACAACTCATTACATTTCTCAGCTGCTTGGCAGCAATGTTTTTTGGCCCAATGCTTGAGCTACCATTTATACAAGCAATAGGTGGAACAATGTTTGTTATCTGGTTGTTGGAAAAATATGTTGAGATCGTACCGTGGAAAAGTACATTGATAGTTATTTGTGGTCTACTCGGCTTTGGGGTTCTGCTGTATGGGTTTGCTTACTTTTTGAGAATGTATCCGGAATATCTTATTTTTCACGTTTATTCTTCAAAATAACATTATACAACGATATTGAAGCTATATATTCATCCTACCAGTTTGAATCTTCTCTATTCTAGGATGAGTTGTTGTATCTGACGGACCGTAAATACTTTTACATTTAAAATTTTCGTTTTTTTCATACAATAAACAAGTTATTCGGATGAATAAAGTTACTCAACGCAGACCTTTACGAGTTTAAAATATATCTAATGTCGGTGTCAGACATAAAAAAGGAAAATTATTTCTTGAATACTTTAGAACAGAAGCAACTACTAAATAATTCCGATCCTGATTTTGAATTCGAGAATACAAGCTCCATGATATATCTCAAATAAAAGACCATCCTTAGGAGGTGATGGAAATTTGTCTAATAAAAGGACACAGCTTCTATTCTGGAAAACGACGAGTATCGTTCTTTCAAAAACATCTTGATCCTGTATCACTTTATCAGTCTTACATTCACATTTTTTGATCAAGAAAGAAGAGGAATGTTATATAGAGGAAAAAACTTCTTGCCCAAAGGAGTGTTCCAAGATCTTGCTTTCTTGCCGAAAACAATATTCATTCGAATTCTAACACAACAAAAAACGAGATCCTTTTGGCTAGTTCATAAGAAAATGAGCTTGAGTGGATTTCTCTTGTTTAACGTTGTAATTGAATACGATATCGTTGAATATCTGGTGATCATTTGACAATTTCTTTTCAGCCGTGTTGATAGCCAATTCGAAACAGTGTATAGCTATATGTAAATCTTGTGTATGTGAGTAAGTCGATTCCATATAATTATAGATTTGCTAGATGTCCTTAAGCTTATCTGAGAGGACAATCAAGGGCTTTTTCTAAAATTTTCAAAGACGTTGTACAATTTTTTTATCTCTAATATAATCTATTCATATTGGAATATACTGTTATCATAGCATTTTCGAACTGTTGTTGAAAGCTTGAAGTGGGCGACTGGTGTTTGTGACGATTCTTTGTCACAACTTCTCTTTCTAGTATGTACATCTTTCGGTAGGGCTATGCTCTTTTGTTTCGTTCTGTCCGTTGTCTGTTTTTGTTCTTTTCCTGCTTTGTTCTTTTGCGATTCTTTTCTTTTATAATACACTGGTAAATGTATATATTAGGTGTTTTTCTTTTGTTAGAGTTAGTCTTTTGTAGTTGGTGATAAAGAGTAGTCGAATAAACGAGTGATACTACGTATCTTAGCGCACACATACAACAAACTCTCAAGGACTTATAATAAGAGGAAATATAAGTCATCACAGTGTTGACTGCATGAGAAGTCAATTTCAGCCCAAAATGATGACGTTTTGAATAAAAATTAATAAGAAATTTTTTTACGATTCATATCGGCTGGCTATGAGCCGTATCGGTTACATTAAAAGGGACTTTTCGGCTAGACCGAGGATTGCTGTAAAGAGGTCAATTTATTTTTCTTTGAAATCACTACCATTCGCTCCAGCATACAAAAGTAGATGTATCAATTTCTAGTTAGGCTCTAGAATCTTCCGGATGTTGAGAAATGCGATTTTCGCTAAAGTGCCTTCGCTTTTTCGCAAAAACACCCGTTTTGCCGTACTTTACCTATAGGCAATGATGAAAACCAGACCTCTCTAGCTCATTCCCATCAAACGTTATTCAAAAAACATCCGAGTCCACTTTATTTTGAAACACATAGTAATCTAAAGAGGCATTTTCGGCTGCTTGGTGTTGTATTAAAATTCATTTTTCACGATTGACCCGAATGAAACTATATGAAACACAGTTTGCGACATATTTGTAACATTATGAAGTTTACTGGATCTATTTAATAGTCAAGTATTGATAACTTAAGTAGTAGTTATGTTCATGATTTAAGTGTTCACGAAAGTTTTTACATGACGAAACAAGCAACTGATGTTTGGATGTTCTGTATTCTATTTAGTTCATTGAGAAACTTTTCGAAATCAGCTTTTGGTAGTGTCTTACCTTGTAATTCACATGATTTTAGATTCCATTGCTGATACTCTACGTTCATGTTTGCCTGACAATCGGCGTGTAATTTCAGCAGTTTCGATCCGTTCATATCTTTGGCAAGAAATTTCATTCGATCTAATTCAAGATCATTGATAAAGTCCAAAACATTTTGTTCTGTCCACTGCTGAACTGAGAGATTTTTATATGAAATTAACGTTGCCGGTGTACGAGGTATAGGTGGAAGTCGTGCTGAGGCTATAAATGGTTTAATCGACGGTCATCGTTGGCTTGTATTTGGTTGCATAGAATCGTATGGTGGTGGTGACTCTCTTCCTGGAAGAGGTATATAAATCATCAGTGACGATGGTGGTCGTTGTGGAGCTGATAGAACTATTGATGGAGGATCGTTTGGATATTCGTCGACATCGTCTTCATCCATCTGAATACCGAGTATTAAGTTTTCTTTTATTACTTTAAAAATGATGCCTACAGCCACATCTGACACTACATGATCATTCGAGTTTTGAAGAGATTCCAGATGTTTAATAAAATTTCGATCTTTTCGCATCAATGTAGCTGTCCCTGTGTTAAATGTCATTAAATGTAATATGTCTAGAGCTAAACGTTTAATTATTAGAAAATAATGATCATGTACTCCACATTGAATCAATGCGGGTACACCGTCTTGTTGAACAATTACACGTTTGACATCGTCACGTTCTGTAAAAACTATAAAAGAGACCCTACGTTATAGATAATTGTTTAATAAGTGAGTTAATTCTACAACTTAAGGTGGTAGACTAGTGTGTCATCTCAATTAATTCATCCCATGTTACGACATTCCTTAGCGCCTTGAGTCTCAAATTATTTCTACTAAACTGAATCCTACTAAACCATGATATTAAGTTACTTTACGCCTGGGAATACATGTAAAGTGGAACGCTTAAAAACTCGCACACATACACGAGGTTTACTCAGAATAACAATTTTCATGTGAAGCGGACTGATATTCATTTCAAAATACAATGAAACAATTCCGCGGTTCCACTGTTCTATAGAGAAGGCCATGTGTATTCATTGATGTTTGAAGTTTGAAAACTTTATTGCAAGGTAGGTTTCGAGAGGATCTTTGAAAAGCCAGTGTAGTTCTACCAAACTAACGTGTCCAGATAGATTTTATTTTTACGTGAAGGCTAGTCCAAAATGCCTTCTTCAGAATGGACGTTAAGTAAGATTCGATATTCAGTGGTTTAGGCATAGTAATGGATTTTCCTTGAAGCCTCAGCAGTAGGATCCAATGGCTTGGGGTGACTTTGAACTCGGATGAAGCATACATTTTTTTCATCTCAGAATCACGTTTAGCGCACAAAGCTCATTCTATGCGGAAATGTTGAGGTCATTATGGTGTATTCGGAGTAAGTTATGAACTTTTTAATCCCAGATGAAAACAGCCTGTAAGTCGTAAAAAGCGCATTCCAGTACACTTTTAACTTTTCGAAATCAAACATTGCCACTAGGTTCAGCTTGGTCGCTAATAAGCCAAAGATCCAATTAATGCGCAGTAGACGTATCTAACTGATGAATAAATGTGAATGAAATGTGTCTCGAATACAGCAGTGACTGATTTCCTACATTCCGTCAATGTCTGGAAATCTTTATTTCCGTTTGAATTAACACTAGAACGCTCGTAGGAGTCATTTTGACCGTTTTGTGATTTTTATCCTTAATAAAACAAACTGCATACAATTTATTTAAAAATAAATTATATCATAACTTTTAATTTGTCCCATAAAAATTATTTTTTGCAGAATGTTTAATTCATTTTTGAATTCAGAACCATTTTCAAGTATAAAACTTTTTTAAAAAACAATAACGGTCAAAATGACCGCTTTGGGCATTCTAGGTCATGAAAATTTCCGGGCGTTCTAGTGTTGAAGGAGATTTTCTTCAGAGCTATAAGATCAAAGGTCTGGGTTGTTCTAAGAATTCTAAGAAATATATAAAATCTTACAAAATTCTCCTCTGTTGTAATATTGTCTTTTTGTAATAGGATGGATTAGATTTTCCTCACTTTTCATTACCACTGATCTTATCTTTTTTGGATTTTATTATTTTTACTTCAGCATACTAACGAGGGATCTTTTCCAACTGTCTAATGGCTTTTTGGTCGAAATCTAGTGGGTTATAGGTTACCGCCTGTGCTGAATCCGAATATCAATGTGAGATGGACGCTAAGTCCTTCAACGATCGGTTTTTGAAGAACCAGTTTTCCAGAAACTCCTCACAATTTCCAGAACCTTTCTTAATAAGTCATGTTTGTAGCCCGCGAAGTTTTAATTAAAATGAGACATTCCCCAGCTCTACATGATCTTTCTTTGCAAAGTTATCGAATGTACAAGAAAAGCCCTAAATGTTCATTGTCAGCTCAGAGATATAGAAAGAAAAAGGAAAAGGAATTTAGGGCTTTCCTTGTTCATTCTATAACTTTGCAAAGAAAGATCATGTAGAGCTGTGAAATGTCTTATCTTGATCCGAATTTCGCGGGCTACAAACATCACTTATTAAGAAAGGTTTCGAAGATTTTTCGGAGTTTCTAAAAAGCCTTTACTTTAATTCCCCATGTCTCCAGAATATATGATAGATTCACAATGTGCACTCTTCCTTGTCGATATCACAGATGAATTTTTGCTGACAAGCGAAAATTTGTTGTTTTCTAGTGAGGAGAAATAATGTTCTACACACATATAAACAAACCTTGCCGTAAGCAGCCATTTCATTTTCTACATAAAACTGATTTGTTTTCGCTGCAGCTTGAACACATCTTATCTCAGATTTTGATTACCCAAGGAGAAAACCAGAAAATCATAAAAGTCAAAAAGAGTTTATCTAGTTGCTCAATATAAAAGAAAAAAACTATAGCGTGACTTTGTACGTCATTGGTTTGTGCAATTACAAAATCAGACAGTTATGTATAAAAGTTCTGAATTATGTCCTATCGTACCTACACCGACCTAACGAACGAAGCAGAGGAGTAACGCCCGATCGATCGGAATATATTC